GGTGCGGTTTGTTAAACAAACCGCCTCTCTTAACGACCAAAATGCCGGTTTGTTACGGCTGTTAAGTCGAGAATTTAGCTGTGTGCTAAAATTCAGCAGCTAGGATTGGGTGCTTTGGGTGCTGAAAGAGAAGCCAGGCAGTTACCTGTTGAATTTCTGCCTGCTGCACAAGTGTACAGGCTCCTCTTACAAATATTAAACAGACTGGAGGAGGGGAAGGAGGAAGGTGGTTGGGGGAGACCCTGTAACCAGGTTTGGCCAACCGAGGCAGCGTTTCCCGATTCTCCTCTCTTTCCTTCCAGCAGAAACTTCTCCGGTGGATTGCCGCCTGATCCGCCAGGCCCGGGAAGGACGCTGGAGCCAGTGGTCCCTGCGCGACGGACTGGAGACCCTCCCCAAAAGTTTAGCTTCCTTCTCCAGAGAACGAGGGGTCGAAATCCACTGCAACGCCCCGGTGAAGCGGCTGGAGAGAACAACCTCGGGGTCCTGGCAGGTGGGGGAAAAGACCCAAGAGGAATTTTGGGGGGTCCCCCAGTTTGCCCCCACCACCACCTTCCACTCTTCCATCCTAGGGAGTGTCCAGGCTGAGATTTTCAGCTGGAGAATTGCAAAGATGGGTCTGTTTTTTCTCCCGACTTCGGGGTCTCGCTCCATGTAATGAATTTTGTGTATGGAAGCAGTGTGGTTTCGTCTGGACCAGTGTTTCTCAACCTTGACAATTTTAAGGCATGTGGACTTCAACTCCCAGAATTCCACAGCCAGCAATGCTGGCTGTGGAATTCTGGGAGTTGAAGTCCACATGCCTTAAAATTGTCAAGGTTGAGAAACACTGCTCTGGACACTAGCAAGAAGGAACATCCTTTTGTGTCGATTAAAAAAACAAAATAAACCAAACCAAACCCTGTTCTTAGATATGTAGCTTCTCAGGCCCAGTTGATGACAGGCTAGATTTCTAGCTGCAGGGAATAGCATGTAAGTAGAGTGACTCAACCAGAGAATGTTAGAGCTGATGGTGGGTTGTTTTTTGTCCCCCCCCCCACCCCATAGATTGCCTTGCAGGACGGCACCGTGGAGGCCGATCACGTGATCAGCGCTTTGCCTGCCAGAGGTAGGAGAAAAGGCTCCTGGTTGTCGTAGCAGTTCCGAAGTGTGGGTCTCTCCCACACACACACACACAGGCACAAATACACATTTTCAGGAAATGACCCCCCCCCCAACCTAAGACGAAGCAATGTTAGGTGGTTGGTTTCTTTGGTGCAGCCTTGAGGACTGGAAACTTGCGAGGGCCAATCTGAAAAAGATTCTGAAATTGCTTTTATTTCCCCCCCCCTCCAGCTCTGGGTAACTTGCTCCCCGCTGGATTTGAACCCCTTACTCAAGATCTGCTGGCTATCCAAGCTGTTTCCGTGGCGGTGGTGAATCTACAATACGAAAACGTGCAGCTTCCCGTTACGGTAACCTTTCGGCTAGTATGATTCAAAAGAAAAGAGGAAGCAGAGAAAGACTTAAATCTCACCCAAGCAAAATCAAACAGGGGAAGAAGCTAAATTCGCGTTAACCGCTATGGTGATTTGCTTAAGGACCGTGTCAAAAAAACACTATGAATTGTATTTGCCCAATATTGGGAAAATGAAACTTTACCAACTGAAGAAGGATTAATTAAGAAACTTTTAAGAGTGTGCAGAAATGGATAGATTGACTTTAAAGATGAAAGAGAAAGAAGACTTCAGTGTATTTTAGAACATGGGATAATTGTTATCGAGGACTAGAAAAACGAGTTAGAGAGAAAGGAACGCGATATGTAACTTTGAATATATATTAGCGAGAAGAAGACCATCGAGCGATTAATTAACGTATTGTTTATGATAATTAACTCTTACTCATTGGTTTTTTTTCTTTAAACACATGAACCCAGACATTATGCTGTTTGCTAAATATTGAGAATGTTATTTGAAAAAACCCCAACCCCACCTTATTCGTACTCCAAAAAAACTAATAAAATATATACTAAAAAATAAATAAATAAACCCTATGACTCGTTTAACGGCCACCTTGTTTAGTGACAAATGTTCCGCTCCTGATTGTGGTCGTAAATCAGGGACCACCTGTGTTACTTTCAGGATCTGTTGGGTAAGGCTTCCAAACCACGTATATGGGGCGGTGATTTTTTTTAATAAAATTAAAATTTTTAAAACATTTTTTCCAGGGATTCGGCCACTTGGTGCCTTCGTTTGAGGATCGTCCGCTATTGGGCATCGTCTACGACTCGGTGGCGTTTCCTGAACAAAATGGACACAAGGACTCCATCACTCGACTGACGGTACGAAGTAAGAGGATGGCGGTGGGGTCATTTAATTCTTCGCTCCTTCTTGTCTTGTCTTGAAGGGGTGGGCTTCAACTCCCAGAATTCCCCAGCCAGCACGCTTTAAGAGGGGTGGGCTTCAACTCCCAGAATTCCCCAGACAGCATGCTCTAAGCCGGGTGGACTTCAAATCCCAGAATCCCCCCAGTCAGCATCCTTTAAGGTAGGTGGGCTTCCCGAAAAGCTGTTTTTATCTTTCCAATGAGCAGGTGATGCTCGGTGGCGCCTGGTTTACATCCCACCTTGGTGATCCGGACACAATTCCGCACAGTGAGTTGTTAAGCAGAGCTGAGGAGGCTGTGAAGAAGCACCTGGGAATCTCCGCGGAGCCCGCTTACTCCATCGTTAAAGTACACAAGGTTAGTTTTCCGAAGCCTGGATCGATTTATTTGCCTCGATCGATAACACAATCCTTCTCTTAAATTCAAGATTGCACCTCTGACTGTAGTTTCAACCATCAGCTCTTAGCCCCAGACAACTCCCTCTTCCATGCCTTCCATCCAGGAAATTAGAATTAATTAATAATGAAATGTATAATGGAATCCGAGAATTCTAGTGCTGGAAAGGGACCTGGGAGGTCTTCTAGTCCAGCCCCCTGCTCAAGCAGGAGACCCTCTACCATTCCAGACCTAACGGTGGTCCGATCTCTTCTTTAAAACCTCCAGGATTGGGAGCATTCACAACTTCTGGTGGCAAGCTGTTCCACTGGTTCATTTTTCTCTCCCTGTCAGGAAATTTCTCCTTAGTTCTAGGTCGTTTCTCTCCTGGGTTAGTTTCCATCCGTTGCTTCTTGTCCTGCCTTCTGGAATTTAGAATCACAGAATGACAGAGCTGGGAGGGACCTTGGAGGTCTTCTAGTCCAACCCCCTATTCAAGCAGGATAATAACAGAATAACAGAGTTGGGAGGGACCATGACAATGTGACCCCCAGGTGAAGAAGGTGGACACACCAATGTTTTTTGAGAGCAAAACTCAAAATTTTCTTTACTACCTTGCTAGGTAGTAGCCCAGCATCCCCCCCCCTTGACCGTTAGAGAGAGAGAGAGAGAAAGATTTAATTACATTTAATGAATAATAATACATATTTAATTATTAATAATAGTATCAGTGCAATGGGTAAGCTGGCAACACGGATCACCTGATCAAAATTCAGACGCTTGGCAGATGGGTTCACACTTACGACCGTTGCAGCGGGATCCCCTTTTGCGACCGTCTGGCGAGCAAAGCCAGAGTTGTCTTTACAACCGGGTTACTACCTTACCCATCACACTGATTTGCTTAACGGTCGTGGCAAGGAAGGTCGTAAAATGAGGCCAAATTCGCTTGCCACACATGTCTCGCTTAACGACTGAAATCTGGGCTCTGTTGTAAGTCGAGGGCCGCCTGTATAAAGCTTCCAGTCTTTTTTTTTTTTTTTTTTAGAAATTCTGTATTTTTTTTCCTCCCTCTATCCGAAATCAGCTAACTTTTGTGAATTTTCTCTTTCTTGTTTAGTCCTGCATTCCCCAGTACACCCTCGGGCACTGGAAACACGTCGGTAAGTTTAATAATAAATAATAATAATAATAATAATAATAATAATAATAATAGGGTCAGCCTGTTCTCCAAAGCACCTGAAGGCAGGACAAGAAGCAACGGATGGAAACTAATCAAGGAGAGAAGCAACTAAGCAACTGGAACTAGGGAGGAATTTCCTGACAGTGAGAACAATAATATAACAATAACAACAATAATAATAGAGTTAGAAGGGACCTTGGAGGTCATCTAGTCCAACCCCCTGCTCAGGCAGGAAACCCTATGCCATTTCAGACAAATGGCTGCCCAGTCTTTTCTTAAAAACCTCCAGTGTTGGAGCATTCACCGCTTCTGGTGGCAGGTTGTTCCACTGGTTAATTGTCCTCACTGTCAGGAAGTTTCTCCTTAGTTCTAGGTTGCTTCTCTCCTTGATGAGTTTCCATCCGTTGCTTCTTCTCCGGCCTTCAGGCGCAGCCATCAAAGTATTGCTTCAATTTTCTTCATAAGGCGAGGACTTATTTACATGGATTTATTTAAATATTAAATATTTAAATATGATTTACATTATATTTACACGGGTTGCACCATCCCGGGCTCGCACCATCGCCATTTACGACGTCCCAGCTGGCTCCCGAGAACGTCAGTGTGGAAGCTGGATTCGCTTAATAGAAGAGAATAGAGCTGGAAGGGACCTTGGAGGTCTTCTAGTCCAGCCCCGTGCTCAAGCAGGAGGTCCCATTCAAAAGCCACAGGGATTAGCTTAACAACCAAGGCAAAGCAGGCCGTAAAACCGACGGCGGCTCGCTTAACGACCGCCTCGCTTAGCGACAGAAACCCCGGTCGTACGTTGAGGACTGCTTTGTGTTTTCTTTCTCCAGAAAGCGCTACTTCTCAACTGAAGCAGCAGAATCTGCCCCTCAGCCTGGTGGGGGCTTCCTACGCCGGGGTCTCCGTCAACGACTGCATCTTCAGTGCCCAGACGGTGGTGGCTCGGCTGGCGGGCAGCGTCTCCTGACCATGAGCCGAGTTCTGGATTCGCGGGATTTGAGCCGCCTTTGGATGCTGGACTTTGTGAGGAAGGGGGCTGGAGGACATATATCGTGTTGCTTTGGGAAGTGGGTGGGCGGGCGGGAGGCCAAGCGGAAAAGACCCACCAGTTTTGAGGTAAATGCGTTGCGTTTAAAATAAAACCAAAACCATGGTTACCCTTGGTTAACTTGGCCCGCCGTCGGTAGAGGAAAGAACAGCTCACTCTTTCGTTGGCTGGGGGAATATTTATTTTTGTAAAAAAAAAAACCCCAAATATATATCTATATATCTATATATCTCAAAACCAAGGTGGAAAGGGCACCACTACCGCAAAGGGGAATTGACGGCTACATAAATAGAATAAATAAAATGACACGTCATTGGCAGTATCTAGAGATTGTGAGGTGCCTAACCGGTGGGGAGCCGTACCCTGATTGGGGGGATGGAGGGAATACACTCAAAAGCAGTGGTTCTCAACCTGTGGGTCGGGACCCCATTTGGGGTCGATCGACCATTTCACGGGGGTCGCCAAGCAAGGCTGTCTGCCATTTTTTTTGTCCGCCATTTTTTTTGTCCGCCATTTTTTTCCCCTTTTCTGGCGGGTGCCTTCCCTCCCTTGGGCTGGGCCAGCTGGTGGTCGGCCTGCTCCGTCTCTGCTGCTTGCCAGCTATGCCTCAGCCGGCGCAGGGGGCGGAACCACGCATGCGAGGCGCTCCCGGGCAGGGAAAGTCCTCGACTTACGACCAGTTGGGTAGTCCTCGACTTACGACCGGTTTAGTCCTTGACTTATGACCGGTTTAGTCCTCGACTTACGACCGGTTGGGGTCGCGGCATTAAAAAGGTTGAGAACCACTGCTCAAAAGGAAAGAAGAAAAAAAAACACCAAAATATTAGGGAAGGCAAGTTGGGTAAAGGAACGATAATTGTCCGTGTGGCGATTTGTTTTTATTTATTCTGATTTTTCGTTTCTGGGTGGCTGGGTGCAGGGAACCTACAAAACAGTCCAGCAGCTAAAATAGTAATACACGTCGGTCCGGTGGGGAGAGGGATTTCTCCTTCCAAGCCTCTGGAATGGGCAGTTGAGCAGATTGGATGGCCGTCTTTTGAGAGAACGACTCTAAAAGCTTTCGCGCCGGATTGTACCCTTAAAAGAGAATTTTGATCGACTTTATGACTCGGCTTCCATAGCTTATTGAAAGAGTTTAAAATTTCCTCTGGAGGAGGAAGGGAGAGGAGGAAAGAGATGGAAAAGATGAAGAAAAAGGAAGAGGAGAGGCAGAAGGAGGAGAAAAGGGGGGGGGAGAAGAAAAAAGATGAAAGATGAAAAAGGAGGATGAAAAGAAGAAAGAAGGTAGAGAAGAGACGAAAAAGGGGAAAGGAGAAAAGATGAAGGAAGCAGGAGAAAGAAGAAATGGAGAAAGAAGAAGGAAAACGGAGGAGGGAGAAAAACGGAGAAGGAATGAAAAACGAAAAAAAGGAGAGATGAAGAAAGGAGGAGGAGGAAAAAATGGAGATGAAAGGGAAAAGGAGAAGAGATGAAGAAAGGAGGAGGAGGAAGAAGAAAAAATGGAGAAGGAAAAAGGAAAAAGATGAAGAAAGAAGGAGGAGGAAGAAAAAATGGAGAAAAGATGAAAAGAAAAAGGAGAGAACAAGGAGGGGATGAAAAAAGGAGAAGAAAGATGGAGAAAAGGAGAGAAAAAAAAGATGAAATGGTGAGGAAGAGGGGAAGAAGAAGACAAGAAATGGAGAGAAAAAAGACGGAGAAGAAGAGGTGAGGAAGAAAAAGAAGAGATGGAGAAGGAAAGAAGAAATAGTTTAGCGACAAAGATTATACAAGTGAACGGCTCAGACGGCAGCATAGATTTGATGCTGTTTAAATGTCTAGTCTGTTTCTCCTTCAATCTGGGGGGGGGGAGAGAGATTTTCCTGCACCTGAGAAGAGGCTGAGCACCCGGGGGGGGGGAGTGTCTTTCCATCACAAAATCTCCCCCCTCCATTCCTTGATCCTGGCTGGCTCGCTTGTGTGGGAGGGAGGGCACCGCTGGGGTGGGAGTAGATTTCCCTCCCCCACAGAAGAAAAAAATTGAGCAAAGTGAGTTATGCTTTCCTGGCGCTTGGAGGGGGGGCGCAAGCTTCAGCCCTCCTCCCCTTTTAAGAGGGGTGCAAAGTGGACGGCGAGGGCTTGATCGGACCGCTATTCACGGAAACTGCAGAGTTCCCCCCCCCAAAATAATTCATCCACAGAAATCTCGGAGACGAGAAGTGCCCTCTCCTTCCCCCCCTTCACCCAGTCGATCACTCCTGTTCTTCCAGTTACCTCCGAGCGGGATCCAGTCCTGCGAAGCGCGAGATAGAAAAAGGGACCCTTGGTAGATTACCTGCATCCCGGAAGGAAGAATCGGCCGGCATTCACAGATTACGGGAACCAAATTCTCGAGGGATTCCCATTGCCGTCCTACCTCTTCCCCGTTCACCTGCCCCTTTCTCTGTCCACTTCACCTCTGTCCGGTCCTTTGGCTCCGTTGGCCTGGGGAGAAACTACGACGGATCCTCCCCAAACTCCGAGCAGGGAACGAGAGAATAATTCTAAATTTCGACCTCTCGTTGACCATCGGCCTGTCATCGTTTTTTTTTTAATCCGCGGTTCTGGCATCCGTGTGATTTGTAGAGTCGGGTCGGGTCGCTGAGCGCTGTGCAGTATGTCCGATCGAGGGTTGCGGCGAAGCGGGGCCTGCTCCTTCGGGTCGGACGGTCTCCGTGCTATCCTTGAAAACTCGTTTGGTGACTTCCGGGCTGCGGACGGTCTCGCTGAATGTTTCGAGCGTAGCGTCCATCTCGTTGTAGGTCGAAGCAACAGTGCCTTTCTCCCACTTTTGGGCTCCGGGGCTCGGTTTGGGGTTTGCTGAGATTGGGGATGGCCTCTCCCCCTTTTTTTCCGTCACCGCAGGGGGGTCTTTCCATCCCATGGCTTGGGAGAGCTTGGCGAAGGGGGTCTTACGCAGCATCTCCTGACGGAAATCGTGATTGCTGTCTCGCGGATAGTCCCTCTCGACAAAATCAGACAAGGAGCCCTTTCCGGTCTTGGTGGCCTTGGGGTTGGTGCCAATGTCGGCGGTGATGTTGGTGTAAAGGGGCAGCAGTTCTTTGGACAGGAGCTTGTAGGAGAGAGAATTCATGCCGTCCTGGGACCACGTCCGGTACGTCCGGATCAGCAGATCGAACCTGGGAAGAGAAAGAGAGAGAGAGCGATCAGCGCTACAGGCTGAAAAAAAATCGTGCTGAAAATCTTGCGGGTGCTTAAACCTGATCTCCTCTGACTGGGATTCACACACCGGACTAAGCTGAGAAGGGTGTTAGCCATGGTTTGTTGCCTCAGTTGCAACTGGCCACCTTTGCAAGGCGCGAAGGTAGAAATGTAGATAACCTCCCGAGTGGACAATCTTGTAAGGACTTCCTGCGGACATCTGAAATGAGTGGATTCTGGATTTTGCATAACACGCCTTTTCCCTTCGTGTAGTTCACTAACTCAGAGGGCTGGGTTCCACAACCGAATAACAGAGCTGGAAGGGACCCTGGAGGTCTTCTAGTCCAGCCCCCTGCTCAAGCAGGAAACTCTATCCCATTTCAGCCAGATGGCTATCCAGTCTCTTCCTCAAATCCTCCAGTGTTGGAACACCCACAGCTTCTGAAGGTCATCTAATCCAACCCCCTGCTCAAGCAGGAGACCCTATCCCATTTCAGACCAATCTATTCTTAAAAACCTCCTGTGTTGGAGTACCCGCAACCTCTGGAGGCAGGTAGTTCCACTGATTAATTGTCCTAACTGTCAGGAAGTTTCTCCTTAGTTCTAGGTTGCTTCTCTCCTTGATTAGTTTCCATCCGTTGCTTCTTGTCCTGCCTTCAGGCGCTTTGGAGAATAGCTTGACCCCCATCTTCTTTGTGGCAGCCCCTCAAATATTGGAAAATTATGTCCCCCCCTGTCCTCCTTTTCTCTAGACCAACCAAACCCAAGTCCTGTGCACTGTTGTGTTTACCACAAAAGGGCAGGATCTTTTGTCGTGGTTTGGACTATGTCCCCCCCTTATACTGACCTGTGCGGATTTTGCTCGTTGCCTTGATCGCCTTCGTGTTTCACCATTTTATAATGGCCGACGGACACCGGAGGCCGTAAAATCTTCATCCCTCGGAAGCGCACCCTGGAAAAGTGGGATCGGACCAGAAGGGCTGTTCCTCAACCTTGACCACTTTAAGATGGGTGGACTTCAGTTCCCAGAATCCCCCAGCCAGCCTGCTTTAAGAGGAGTGGACTTCAATTCCCAGAATCCTCCAGCCAGCCAGCTTTAAGATACGTGGATTTTAATTCGAAAAATTCCCCAATGAACATGCTTTAAGAGGGCCGGACTTTAAGTCCCAGAATTCCCCAGCCAGCCTGCTTTAAGAGGGGTGGACTTCAACTCCCAGAATTCCCCAGCTGGCAAGCACCCATTTGAAAAGAACTACATAGGGAAGCTAAATTATTCACAACGGGCCTCCTAAATCAAGCAAACAAGCCATGAATCAAAGGTAGCATCAATCCAAGAGCCTGTGGATTAGATCTTGAGAGATCTTTAGATCTTTTAAAAACAGTAGGTCTTAAACCGATTGGCCCAATTTTCCCTGTTCCAAGCCTTGGATAAAATTAGGGCCTCCATTAAACAACAACAACAACAAAAAAAATACAGATTCTATATTTTGACAATAGCCTGGACTAGCGTTGACTTCCAAAAAAGCAATTAGCAATCCCAAATTGTTCTCCCCCCCCCAGGGAGACCTGGCTTAGCTTCCGTTGAAGAGCCACTGAGGCCCAGCCTCAAAACCATTTCGTCTAAAAGCCTTGAGAGGTTTCTCACCTCTCCTTTTCCAATTTAAAACCTCAAAAGGTGCCCAAGTACAGACATTTAGCCTGGCCTACTCGGGAACTGAATTTTTCCTGTCATGGGGGGGGTCCAATCAGTGAGCGAGTGCAGCCTTGGGCAAAGAGAGGTGAAGGATGATCTGCCTTTGAGGGTTGCTGAGATATCTCTCTTTTTATTTTGTTTTTAAAAAACACAAACACGAAATCTTACCTGGTTGGCACAGCCTCTTAATTGTTACATGGTGTGAAGGAAAATGAGCATGCAGGGCTTCGCAAGAGAGAGAAAAGAAGGTGAAGAAGGAGAGAAAGGAAAGGAAAGGCAAAAGAAGGAAAGGAAAGGAAGATAGAAGAAGGGAAGGGGAGGGGAGGAAAGATACAGGAAGGAAAGGAAAGGAGAGGAAGAAGGGAAGGAGGGAGAGAAGAGAGGGAAGGATTGGAAGGAAGGAATTGATATAGAGGAGAGAGAAAAATGAAGGAAACAATTGACAGAGAGGAAGGGAGGAATCGATATATAGAAAGAAGGAGAAAAAAATTGATGGGAGGGAAGGAAGGAGGAAGGCAGGAAGGAAAAATGGAAGAGGGAGGGAGAGAGGGAGGGAAGGAAGGAAGGAGAAATGGAGGAAAAAATTGGCAGAAGGAAGGGAGGGAAGGAGGAAGGAAGGAAAAATGGAAGAGGGAGGGAAGGAAGGAGGGAGGGAAGGAAGGAAGGAAGGAGGGAAGAACAGGCAGGAAGGATTGGAAGGAAGGAATTGATATAGAGGAGAGAGAAAAATGAAGGAAACAATTGACAGAGAGGAAGGGAGGAATCGATATATAGAAAGGAGAAAAAAATTGATGGGAGGGAAGGAAGGAGGAAGGCAGGAAGGAAAAATGGAAGAGGGAGGGAGAGAGGGAGGGAAGGAAGGAGGGAGGGAAGAAAGGAAGGAAGGAGAAATGGAGGAAAAAATTGGCAGAAGGAAGGGAGGGAAGGAGGAAGGAAGGAAAAATGGAAGAGGGAGGGAGAGAGGGAGGGGAGGAAGGAGGAAGAGAGAAAGAAGGAAGGAAAGCCGAGAAAAGAGATGACGATATGGTGGAAAGGCGAAGACAGGTGCCACTCAAGTTGCAAAACTGGAAATGGAAGAACGGAAAAAAAATGCTGGACGCAGAAAGTGAAAAGAGAGCACAGGTTACATGCAAGGCAAGAGTCAACCGGACAACAGGGGGGGACGTAGAAACAGGACACATAAACCATAAAGTTATTAAAAAAAAACCCACACACACACACACACAGGCTGACAGGTGTCCAGGAGATAACATTATTGTTCCCAATCATCACGTGACCCTGGGACACTGCAAGCGTCATAAATATGAATCAGTTTTCAGGGTGTAGTAAGTCTTAAACGGTCATAATTCGAGGGCTACCTGTAAGGGGCAGTAGGGGAAGACGGTCAACCAGGAACTCACCTCATGGCGATGTCATCGTCCTCCCCGCCCCAGCCCCAGTACTGGTTGGGGAAACCATTAATCTTCAGATACTGGTCTGGGGTCAAGGCTGAGACCCCACCGAAATATTGGAAATACGGGAGCCTGCAAACAGAGATGAACAGGGTTTACTTAAGGCCGGGGGTCTTTAAACTTGACCCTTTGATGACTTGTGGACTTCAACTCCCAGAATTCCTCAGCCAGCGTGCCTGTCGTAAGCCGAGGATTCCCTGTAGATCAAAGGAGTGGCAGGTAAATCCCACCCCCTTCTCATCCTTTAGAGCAGAGGTCTCCAACCTTTCTCGTTTGGTGGACTGGAGAGAAAGGGAGGGGGAAGCATTGTACGTGCGCATGCGTGCACACATACAAACGGCCGCGAGCATGCGTGACGCATACAGGGCGATGCTAGCGCCCGTGTGACACTCGCTAGCACCTCCCCGTTTTTGCTGCACAGCGAGCCATTTTTAATGCGGTGGCCGGTTTTCGCCGCACGGCACCCCGTTTTTGCCGCGCGGAGCCCCATTTGCGCAGCGTCAGCGGCACTACTGTGAATGGGGCTGAGCGCGCGCGCGCACGCACGTATGCGCCCTGGGCAGCCTGTACCGCGGCCCGCTGGTTGGGGACCCCTGCTCTCTAGACTTCCCAGCTCTCTACCCTCACTTGTATTTGAATTTATTCATGGCGACGGAGACGTGTTTGGGGTTCCAACGATCGCACACGTAGAGGTTGTGGTCGTTCTCCGGGATCAGATCCACATCGTGAAGGAAAAGGCAGTTCCATTCTTCGTCCTTCAGGGCTTCCTTCACGCCCACGTTGAGAAGCTTGGCCCGGTTGAAAGTGGCATTCCCGGCCTGCGGGAAAAGAGGCAACCTTGGTCATTTGAATTACCTGCAAGGACAGACAGACACCTGAAACCAAATTACAGGTGGTCCTCCACTTACGACCGCAGTTGACGCCAAAAATTTCCGTCGCTAAGTGACAAATTTGTTAAGGAAGCCAGATTTCGCTTAATGACCGTGGTCCTAACTTAACAACGGCAGGGATTCCCTTAACCCAGGGGTCTTCAAACGTGGCCCTTTTTATGACTTGTGGACTTCAACTCCCAGAATTCCTCAGCCAGCATGGGGGAACTATGGCCCCTTCATGACTTGCGGACTTCAACTCCCAGAATTCCTCAGCCAGCATGGGGGAACTATGGCCCCTTCATGACTTGCGGACTTCAACTCCCAGAATTCCTCA